TGATTCTGGATATGTTAATCTGAACATGCCCAAGAGCTATATCCCAGTGGAGATGTCAAGGAGGCAGTTAGCTATGCAATTCTGGAATCTAAGGGAGAGGTCCAGGCTAGATACTCAACTTGGGAGCCATCAGCAGCTGGATGTCATATAAAGCTATGAGACAGCATGAGATCATGTAGGGAGTGAATGAAGACAGAGAAGAGACAAGATCTGAGGGTGGAGCCCTGAGGTCTTTCTCTGCAGCACTGAAGAGCCACACGCAGAATCTGGTGGTGAGTCAGGTCACCCACGGCAAAGGGTTCTTTACGGGTGCAAATTTTCTGAGTCAAGAAGAGGCTTGGGAGTGAGTGATGGCTCCGAGATGGGTTGCACACTGGTTCTTCTGGGCCTGGAGGAGGTATTCAAGGAGATGGGCAGATCTTGGTGTCCCTCCCATGGAGGTTCCACCTAGCAAAGCAGGCAACTAGACTTAAGGTGTACACAGTAGGAGACCCTGTGAGGGCATGAAAGGCAGACTACATGGGTAGGAGACGGGGTGGAGATGATCGTGTGCTGGTGACAGGCTCTGGGCCCTTGTGAACCAGAGGTGTAGACTAAGCAATGTCTACTGAAGTAGATCCCAAGATGCTGGCTATGCTTGGGTGGGCGGGTGCTGTAGGGAAGGGTCCACGCAGATGAGAGGAGAGAAGACAGAGGGGAAACTTTCAATGCAGTTGCTCAGGGAGTGGGCTCTGCTGTCAGGCTGATCCGGGCCCAACTGGGGCAAGTGACTGAACCAAGTTATCACCAAGGAGCTTAGCACTGTGCCTGCAAGTAACAAACCATCAATAAATGGTACCCATTAGGAAGGGAATGCTCATCCGTGATTTTAGGATACCCTTCCTATATCCAGGCCTGTCCAGATACAGACTGGAGGATAGATTTCAGAAAAAGCATGGATGACACACAGTCCCTCTAGGCCTGAGTCCAGCTTCTAGAAATAGCTGTACTGAAGGTAAAACAAGGAAGAGATTTATTTCTATGACGTGGGGAGCAGCTCCCTTACTAAGAGTCATGTGTCTTGGGAGAACCTGACTCTTGGAAAGAACACATTCTGGTCTCCAGGTGCAGCAAGAAATAGAGGAAGGCATGGAGACGGTCCAAGCACAGAGCCAGAAAGGCGGGCAGAAGAACTGAACTGGCCACTCTGCTAGCGAAGAGGCTGACCTCAGCCCTGGGGAACTAGGGAGGGTGCGGCCCAACACGCTCCTTTTAGAGGTGCACCCTGGGACCAGCCTCACCCTTCCATTCTGGGAGGAAATACAGGCCGAGAGTAGGGAAGGAATCACCACAGGCAGGATGGCTGGTGGGCAGAAGGGCTGAGACCAGGCCCAGGGAGGCAGAGGCTGCTGAGGGGTGAGGGATGAGGAAGATATGACGAGCGAATAGTAGGAATTTGGGCTCGTGGCCTGGGATTTAGGACCCTGTAGCAATGACCAGTCCGGGATTCAAGTTTTTAAATTCTTTTTAAGTAAAAATCAGAAGAACAATGAGTAGAATTACAAGAGTAACAAGTTTCCATTTCACCGCAGAAACATCTGCACTAAAGGAGAGAGGATTCGCCTTTGGTTGTTCCTTCTTGAGGCTGGGCCTTCATTTTCAACATGATTAAAATCACGGACAAGGCCATGATAAGGTCTTGGGACAAGTAGGGACCAGGGGCTTCACCTTATTATCCTGCAGAGGGAAGGCAGCTCCTTGGGTGCCCATGACCTTGGAACGTGCAAACCTGGTCCTTCCCACCTCTCTCCTGGCCCCACGGTGTCTCCTCTTGAGTTACAGTCGTCATGGAGATCAGCTGGGCTCTCTGGCTTTTAGGCTAAAGGTCAAGGCCTGAAAAGACTTGGAACCAAACTGGAAATTCTGCTTCCTTCTCCATAACTCTCTGTCAGCTTTTAAGCTCCTTCTGTTTGCACACTTCTTGGAGAGGGCACTGGGGATCTCAGCAAACCACAGACAGAAGGACCCTGTTTATTCCTCCTTTATTGAGCCTTGTTTCTAAATAAAGGAAAATTGAACATTTTCTCTTGCTCTTGAAACATGTGCACCCTGGAATCTGCTGAACTGAGGCAGAGGTGAGCTCAGAAAAGAGCATGGATTCTGAATCATCAGAATCAGAGCTCAGGCCCACCTCTGACCCCCTGCTGACCTTACACAGCGCCCCTGTCCCAGATAAAAGTCCACACCAGATCTGGCCTCCAGCACAGGCAATCCAACGATAGAGTTCCGAAGATTAATACTGATCTGCTTGCTAGGCTGCAAGGTGGTCTCCTACCCTGGATGCTCTGAAGTACCGAGGCCTGGGTCACTCCCTGAGGGTGTTTCCCTGCACCCCTCAGGACTGGTCATGCCCACTGCTTTTACATCTCTCTAGAAAGTTAGACTCACGCCTCATGACCAGGTGCCATGGGGAGGATGCCAAGAGATTTGCCTTAGAACAAGGGGTCTTAAGCTTAGGCCTCCTCAATCTTCCTGTGAAGGGCTTGACATCTCATTCCCCGAAGCCTGGAGATCCATGGAGAGGTTATAGAGAAAGGGACAGAATCTATGTTCTGGAGTCTACCAGGCTGGGGTGTGGGAGTCAATGGTCAGTTTCAACTTCCCAAGACCCAAAAGCACCCACTGCGCTCATTTCACTCTGAACCAACTGGACTTCAAAATCTGTAGGTTCTTAGCCTGGAGAATAATGCAGTCTGGTGACCCGCAGAGAACCAGGAGGAGGCAGGGGCTTACTGTATGAGCTTTGGGGTCAGACAGACCTCAGTTCAGACTCTGGCCCCAATATTTAGAAGCTACATGAACTTGGGCAAGTCATGTAACTCCGTTCCTTCATCTTCCAGTTGGGGATTAAAAACCACATCCTCATAGCATTGCTGATTCAGGCGTTTTGACCAGATACCCCTGGCTGAGCAGCTCCCAGTAAGGAGAGGCATTGAAAGGGCTCTCCACAATGCCTGGCACAAGGCAGACACTCAGTAAATGGTATCACTTGTGATCTAAGCCCATCCCTATGGCTTCCCATTAGAGAAATAAGCATTCTTGAGAAGCTTCTTGGAAGCTAAGGTCTTTTTAGTCAGAAGACTTATTAAGGGAATCAGAAAGCCAGTCAAAGGCACATTTTCCTTTTCTCTAACCTCGGAGTGGGTTTGGATGAGAAGACTCCACTTACTCCCCTCCCACCCCCTGCCTCTTTTACCCCTTGGCCTGTTTCCCCAATCCCCCCATACCCAGCAGCCTAAGACCAAAAAACCCCTGACTAAATTGGCAGGCTCTCACCTCTCTCCGAGGAGTTCTGGAACAGACTAATGAGGTTACCACAGGTG